AATGAACTTCCAGCCACAAGAGCGAAGACTCTATTTAATTTATCGCTAAAGGAAAGCAATGACACAGAGAAACTGAGAGGAAATTTAAAAAAAAAGCAAGCAAGAAATAGCGTTATGCTAGCTGAATGCTCAAATCGTAGATTGCTACTGGAGTACCCTTCCCTTCCCTGGCAAAGGCTTCGCATCGACTTTGCTGGACCAGGTCAGGGAAAGATGCTCACTGTAGTGATTGATACCCACAGCAAGTGGCCGGTGATTTTTGTGATGGAGATCACTACTGCTGAAGAAACCGTTAGCACGCTGCGCTCTCTGTTTGCCCGCATGGGACTCCCTGACCAGATAGTATCAGACAATGGTCCACAGTTCACATCTGAAACTTTTAGGAAGTTTGCAACTGCGAATGGTATAAAACGTGTCACTGGTGCACCTTATCACTCATCAACCAATGGTCAGGCGGAAAGATTGGCACAGAGTTTCAAGAAAGGAGTTAAGGCTGACAAGCCCGGTAGAACCCTGCAACACAAGCTTGATACGTTTCTGTTAGCTTATCGATCAGCGCCACATGTCATTACTGAGCTTAGCCCTGCACAGCTTCTCCTGGGTCAAAATGTTATGAGAAAGTTGGTCCTGATCAAGCCAGATGTTACAAGCGAAGTCAACAAGAAGTTGCTCTAGTCCAATAACCACACCTTGAAGTCTTTGGACCAAAACCAGAACGTATGGGACCGCAACTACCGCAGAGGTCCAAATTGTATGCGTGGCACCGTCACTGAACAAACGGGTCCGAGTCCTGTACAAAGTCAAGGTAAATGACCAAACCTGGAAACTTCATGTCGAGCAGCTACGGGATAGCAACCTTTGCCCACCTGACGTGGAAACGATTGATGATTGTGCTGATCCTGGGGAGGTCGAACGTGGTATACCTCCTGTAGTTACGGATACCGAGTGAAAGGACACACCATCCCTGGCTGCGACGCCCATTGGGAGTTTCCCCTCCAGAATAGCAAGGTCATCAACTGGATCCAAAACCTGAGTTGATTACCACCCGTGCCGGTCGTTTGGTTAAACCAACTCCTAAGTTGAAGGACTATGTTTGCAACTAGAGGGAACTGTACTGTTTCTTTGTCGGTGGTCACAGTACCAGCATGTTATCTGAGATACTTTGAAATTTGTTTCTTGGATTTTGTTTTATTCTCTTTGTTTCATTAGTGTGTTATTAAGTCTTAAAAGGAAGAAAATTGTTAGATTATCCCCATTTTTGGGTTCCCTGTTTTATGTAGAAGCTAGTGTCACGTGACCTGTTTTCCATATTTGATACTGTACACGGGGTTTCGATCTGAGATTAAAAACAGCTCTTAGTGCCATCTTGATCTGGTTTACTGTGTTCCCGGCCTTGTATTCGGAATACACTACACATTGCCTTGACAAAATGAGCTTGTGGGGTTGAATAATAAAAATAATAATAATACATGTCTTTTAATGGCAGAGATAAAATTTAGACAGTTCCAGAGGCTAGCTTCTCCTTTAAGTGCCACTCCCGCTAAGAGCGGTCCTCTCGACTTCCCGACCAAAGAAAATTTTCCTTATTTTTTTTCCTATGAAAAGGGTTTAGGACACATGTTGCTGCTGCTGCTGTTTTTATCGTTATTGCATGGAACATTAAAAGCCAATTTACACAACCAGCATACAGCATTAGCTAATCTTGGTGGGTATTAGTAATAAATAAGTAAATTCTACACATTGTAAACTGAAGATATTTCATTACTACTACAATATCACTGCAGCTATAAGCTATGCATGTTTCAAAAATAGTGTTTGTTTTCTAATTCTCTTTTTTTTTGCCTCGCCATAAGTGAAAATTGACTTTTGGCTAGACCAACCGTGTAGACAACTATCAAGTGTAAATTTCACAGCTTTTGTCGAGCGCGCTGCGATTGTAATAGTGTAGTTCACGGAATTCTCTCTGGCCTGGAGTTGTAGTAATCGAAACTATGTAAGTATTGTCGTTTTAAGTTGGCTCAAAGTATTTCTTTCCTATCACCTTTACTTATTTAGGTTTCAACCCACATCGTTCACCGTAAATAAATCGTCTTTTTTATCAGCAATTATGGTGTTGAGAAGTTACGATTACCGCAGTCACACCCACCCCACAATGGCAGTTAATTTTCGTTAGTCCCCCTTTAAATTCTGTTGGCGACAACTTATTCCCACTTCGTTTTCCCTAAGAACCACGTGATCCAGAATCCTCGGCCCCTGGCGATAAATAGTGACAGGTCCCTTAGCTTCTGTTTACACTAACTATCCCCACTGCGAATGTAACTTATCTCCGTATATAAAATACCTGAAAACTAGTTAATGTAACGATCGAACGTCGTGAAATGGAATCAAGCACAGAGTTAGAGATAGTCTTCCTAAATTTCTTGGAAACATGTGCATTCGTTACCATGTCACTCAGTTTCTTGAGTAAGGTGACCTTCAAATCTCTGCCTTTGAAAGAAATGTCAACAAAAGCACACATTTTCCTCAGCGTGGTGACTTTAAACTTCCCTAACGTGTCATTTGTAACATGTTCCCAAGTAATGTGCCCATCATATAATACTGGATGAGCAAGTCTGATCTCGGAAATAACATCCGCTACATCCTTTTTCCTTGCTTCGTGTTCAAGGTAACCGCTTTCTTCTTCAATGAGACTTTTGTCGTCGTCGTCGTTTGCATCCTGCTCCGGATCCTTCGGGACTGTGGCTTCTCTTCATCTCAAAGGAGAAAGCCTCATGAAAAAGGTTTGAGCCTGGCTCTTCGTTAGCCATTCACTTCTGGTGAGTTTTTAGATAGTAGTACCTCAAATGACTTGATACGTCGTCCTGGCATTCCAGGAGAGATATCGGGGCTGAAACTCTTAAATACCTGTTGCCACTTCAATCTTTGCTTTCCATGAAGA